AATATATATTCTCGCATCATTTTTATCTAAGAACCGCTTTTAATATAATATATCCCATCAATAATTAGGTTTCCAAACTTCCCACTAAAATTATGTACGCTTCGAGCTTCTATAAAATCTGACAGTCTACAGATGAGTTCAACAGCGGATACATGTAATGGGATCTATATTATTCTTACCTGAGTTTGGATTGGGACACAGTAATTATAAATCTTTGTAACGTTTGTGTCAAATGGTAAGATAACTATGAACGACAAATCTGAATACATGTGTAAATAATCGTGGCATATTTTAGCCACTACGTACGGACCTCCCTGTAGAGAGAGTAATAACAAAATATGTTCATATGGATATCTGGCCTTCATAATCAGTTTTGAACCGGGCTTACATAATACGGTATAATATATACATCAACGGTAAAATTTCGATATAATATCGATATCATTCCAGCTCTTTGAAATAGCTAATGCCGGTTCTTAACGACGTAGAAATAAAAGATGAATGCTTTGTGCTTCCTAATGGGCTAAACACTACGGTGCATTGAATTCATAAGAACAGGTGAGTTCATTCACAGGCAATGGAGACATGTTATTAATATTTAGTTCCACTCAAAGTACTGAAGCTTCAGCTGTAATTCTTTGGTGTTGTGTCGTAAGAGGGCATTGTGCACACTCATTTAGCCTTATACCACTAAGAACATTTTTAAATGTTTTAAAAGCCACAACTACCTTTTGAATAATCAGTTACACGTAACAAAACAGATGAATCACGTCTGACTTAATTCTTTGCCATATATTTTATGCGTCCTTTAGTCTCGCATACCTGTGTCCAAGCACCATTTCATGGACTCAAACGGAGGTATTAATCTTCTCAAAGCGACAAAAGTCTGAGACGGGCCCCCAGACTGTTATATATATAAAAGACGACGAACTTTTATCAAGTGCTGAGGTTTTTTAATCTCCACGGCACTAAAACTGTGAGTTTACCGTGCGTCACTAGCTTCCGAGTTGAAGGAAAACAAACGAACATAACAGTAATGTAAACGGCTAAGATGTCACGATACACGCCATGTACGAGCTTGGGGGGAGATTACTTAATAGTTTGTGCGGTCGCCATGTTGGTATTATTTATGACAGGCAATAAAAAATGCCAAGATTGAGAGTTATGTCACGAAAATTGGTGTAACCGGTGTCTTTTTAATATTGATGTTTGTAGCTTAAGCAGGGGAAATACAAATGGTGAACCTGTTCCCAGCCACTGACGGTAAATCTATTTTTCCATGACAAAGCTAGAAATGTTGGATGCATTCAAATATTTGTTAAGTACCAACAGTTCTAAATGCTGTGAAAAGCTCTACGCCAAGTCATATCGACCATAATGTCAGTTATGTTGGAAGATTATGAGCAGTAAATACGTAGATCCATAGAACAACATAAACGTCGCAAATCGGGTACACCAGCTGATAAAGAACTCTGTGACTCTTTCGATGGTAACATTCACGCCGAGTTTATGCAAAATAATCAAGACGTTAACAAACACGTACAAGGACAAACACTCAAATGAATATAATCACTCTAAGTCTGACTCAAACACCGTCCAAAGGTAACAAGAAAACTGATATAACAGCCTGAAGACGGAAAATTTACGCACAGCGTAACAATTCTGGCGCGTTCACTCTTATTGCGCTTTTCATCTTGTAAATGACGCCAGTGACATCAGAGTTGGGGGATTCCCCACGTGGTCTCGCAGGCGACAGTGTACGTGGTGAATCCCCACGTGGGAAGACTCAAACAGTCACATCCAAGCTCAGAAACGCATGCACGTCGTTATGAAATGTGACGGTTATCGTGGTTCGATTTTATCCAAAACTGGAGAAAAAAATCGATAAATATTAGGAAGTTAAAACTACACAAAATTTCACTTCCATGAAAACCAGTTAAAACGTTCTCGGTTTGATGGATGCGGGCAGACTGACAGACATGGTGACGCTAACAAGGTTAGATTAGGAAGCAAATAAGACAGTTTTGTGCGGTTACTAAATCCAGAATGTGACGGTCAGCAGAACTAGGAAATCGGACGAAACTATTCCAAACAGATTTTTGGTGAGGAAACTCATTTGAAAATTGTCATTTGGAGACCAAGAAGAATAATACATAACATTAATATGCGTCTATAGAAATAGGTTGTGACTGGGTGATGGAACTGTCTTAGGATTCGGTCCATGGTGGATTTTTGGTACAGCGCTGTTCTGTTATCAATTAATTTCTTATCTTGTTAATTTGTCCCGAAATATTAGTATTTTATGTCATCTTAGACAATTCTGAAGAGAATCGAACACATAATCTCCAACTATTAAAGAAATCAGCCCGAAGAATGAAACACGAGTAATGAACTCTGGACCATGATGAGGCTGGTTGTCGGATGCTGAAATGACGCACGATTTCTATATGTAGAAGTGGGGCACACACACACACACACACGCTCAAGCTGCCAAGCAACGTGTTCTGGTCCTACCCCAATATACTCTGTCTTGCGACTGTTTGTTATATGCAGAGATACGAGCATACTACCGGTATCAGGGCAACAGCGACATAAAGGTCGTGTTGCTTCAAATGTCTCGGTAATTTCCGTTCCCATAGCTGCTTCTGTAATCACTCGCGGCAACGTCATAATCCAGGGGTTTCAACCTTTTCCATGTCTACGGCTTAATTCAATATTGCTTTTCGACTCGCGGGTAACAAGGACAAGTTATTAAACATTCACGGGAATTTACTAACAGGTTCACATTGCTTAACAATTTCTTTTAAGAAAATCAGTCATAATGAGCTGTTTGACACTGTTTTTCCTTGATCAGTCGTTCAATATCAGGATTAACTTCAGTTATCGTGTGCTAGTTATCAGCGTTTATCAGCGACAGTGTTTACGTGTTCTATGCCTTGATTTGACGTCCTTCATTAAGCTCACTGCGATAGTAATTGCCAAATACAGATAATATTGAGATATATTTTCTCACATCTACTTTTCGTCAGAGAGACTCATTACAGGAAATGTAAGCGGCCACACAAAGCATATTGGAGGTCCCGGTGTTGAGAACCCCTGTTATAAGTGATTCAGAAAGTGACTTCACTTACTAAACAACTGTATGAGTAATTGACTGCCCGACTGGTTATCAAAGCGGTCGACTGTTCCATTGACCAAGAAGGTAGGCGCAACAGTAACGCCTTATAACGTATCCAGGAAGTACCCAGTTCAGATTACAGCCCTGAGAACGGATAACCTGACAGGATTTTTGTTATTCTCGCCACGGCGGTCAGAATACTGCCCTTAAAGAGGCCACGATACCGCCTTCCAAATATTAAAACACTGATTATCCTCTCTCCTGCTTCGTGATTTTCTTCTACTCAGGCAAATGGGGTATAACATAGGACGCGATTGTTTCTACACGCATTATTTTAAATTCACTATTCATAATCATTCTCCCGTTCGATCGAATTCAACTTATTTATCTGATAAGACGTTGTTAAATAACCTAAAACAACATTGTGGGACGGATACCAATTACCAACGTCGTTAAAATATCCTAAGAATCGGCGAGAAATAACGTAAATAAGTAAAAAGATTATCTTTATGAAAACAAGAAAGAGAAAATTAATGTCGAGCTACTTATGGTTGTTCATGATGTGTCTTAGGCTAAGTCAGTTTCCTTTCGCAGCTGCGTCCCACTTTCCTGAAGACGCTGTTGTAATAATGTCGTAACGCAACGGAGAAAGTCTGACCTATAAACTTCTCATCCAGCCGCCATTTTACTAAACACAGGACGATGACTCAATTTAGAGGACTGAAGTGGATGTACGTCATTAAACATTAGACAAAGTTACTACTAGCACAATGTCACTGAGATGTCGAGGTCTTTGACCCTGAAAATCATATTCTTCACAAACCGGTCAGTTAAGCGACAGAGAAAATCCCGGGTACATACCGGATGGGAGGCTGGGTGGCCTCTAGTGATGAAGAAGATGAACAAACCTGCCCCAACGGGCAACTGAAGCCCGGCTGGACTATCAATAAGATATAATTATACCCACTGCTTCGGATGACTGTTGAGACATTAATATATTTTTTTTTAAGTCCGAAGGAACAAAGACGAGTCAGTTAGTTAACTGAAACAAATGTACAAACCTGCCAAAGATTTGGCTGTAGTGAGGTTAATTCAGATATTACAATGGAATGGCCATATTCAGACATTACCTCTTTCGGTACAACGTAACTTATCTATATGCACCGCTTACTTAAAAATTCAATAGCTCCACATTTTGCAATCAGATGATATTTATGGAATTTTTATGATTTTCAGAATAAACAGTATTTTCCTAATAGGATTAATCAATTGGTATTTTTAATGGAGACGCATTGTGTTTTCTTTGTGGTAAGAACTGAATTTTTAAATATGTTTCAAGTTTCCAAGAGTTGTGGTAAAAATTAATATGTGCACAGAATTTTTGTAGATAAATATTTGGAACTTATCACTTTAAAGACCAAGACGGTGATGAAATAAAATTTAACTTTGAAACGACGGTAAATATTTTAGGATATTGCTCACAATTCATTTATCGGACACAAACCACATCGTATGCAAGATATCATTTGGGGAAATTCTTCGGTGTGCGATTCAGCGACAATTTCTGTGGTTGCGAGGACTCTGGCGGAAAACTCCGACGTTAAGACATAAGTTTGCTTAATGTCTGAGCTGTCAACAAAACGCTGTATTTTTGGCCACTGACGTTAACGTTGGTCTTCCAGAAATAAGGTTTATGTTTAGGTAAGGCGGATTAAACAGAACTGGTGCAGAAACTGGGACACTGACGTTGGCGGACTTGTCCTGCCGATGTATCAGATACGCAGTTAGGCAGGTTCTTGAACGCTGCACACTTTAAAGGCGAGTGGTAATCATATAAACCAGCTTCTTTAACAATTAATAACGTTTTATTTTGTATTTACAGATTTCGTATGATTCTCAGTTTCAATAAGGATCATTTCCTTAAACAGCATCAACCATCTGATCTTTGTTTCGGTAAAGTGTGGGATTTTCTTAGAGGTAAGAACTGGATTTTTGTATATTATTTAGACGAGCTTAGGTTTCAGAGAGTTAATTAAAGTCGAATTCCGATTTTTAACTTTCATATGTAACACAGTAAAAATTATGAAATGGAAATTATGTGGAACGAAGATATCACCTACGCCTATTTGAAGTTCATTCCAGACTTTCGTTGAAGAAACTGAGGAAGACCATGAAAGCCTGTAACCGGTTTCGAACCTCAGAGTCAAACCTGGGGCGTATTTGGACGCAGGCCTACTATCCTAGCATCTGCTTGGGAGGGACCGAGCACAATCAAGAAGTGTCTCAGGGTAGCCGTTCTCCAAGAATCCACGAATTTGTAAATAGAGAAAAGAAATCCTGATTGTTCAACCACGTCTATCGGTAGTCGAGACGGTGGCCTCTTCCTCGGGGACCCTAATTAGATAAAAGCTGTAGTTAAGAGCATCTTCCTCCGAGTTTTCCCATGTGTGCGGCCTAGTAGCAGTTACACCACTGGGAGGTATGCGACGAACGTACAGACGGACAGACGCAGATCCAATGAAAACGAGAGGCGTGCGAGAGAGAAGGAAGAACCAGACTGAGGTAACTGACCTCACCCAACAGCTCTTTTTATGTTAGCACTTAAAAAGAATAAAAATACATGTTACAGACGCAACAGTGACCGAATATTTATGGTCCAGCTGTAACATACGTATTTTCTTCTGTTGCAAATAAAAAAAAACACATAGCACAGACCAGCATGTGCAGACTACGAGAATATATAATTGTGGGTCGCGACCCTTTTAGACTTTTAATAGTCTAGACATCTCTATCCGATCTGAAGGATGTATGAAACACTTTTCTTTCTTTACGACTCTGTCTTGAATTTGTTGTCTGGAGGAATGAAGCACAGAGGTAAAGCAGTTTACACTGTGTTTCTTTGCCACCTTATGCAAAAAATCCATACAACTATTAAAATAATTTCTGTTATGACTAAAAGTGTGAAATTTCTCATCCTCTTCTAACATTCTTTCATCTCTCTCTCTCTTCACGTGTCTTCTTTTGTACCTCTTTCTGTCCCTCTATTTTTTATTACATAGGTACAGCCCTAGGCATACAAACAGCTGTATTTTAAATTGTCCATTTCCTCTTCGTTCAATAAACAGTATTTATTTTAAACTGTAAAATTAAAACTGAGCTTCATGTAAATAAAGATATTTTAGTGAACCGACATTAGAATAAATTAAATCTGCCTTAAAACTATAATTTTACATGTCGTTTTTATGGTTGTGTAATATGGCCTCTCATGTTAAAGGAATACAACAGGCTTTTTGTACGCTTCACTAAATATTATTAGGACAATAACGGTACGGAGTATGAGATGGGCGGGGCATGAGGACATAAATAACGCATACAAAATTTTGTTTGAGAAATCTTGAAGGGAAGAGATCACTTCAAATACCTGAGCGAAGATTTTAGGGATTTGGGCTGTTTATATAGCACAGAATATCACCGATGACGGGTTCTTGTTCACGCGATAATGAATCTTCCGTAAAAGGCATTGTCTTTCTTTACCAGCTGAGCTTACCATCAGCCTCTGAAGAAGGATTTTGCTGCAAGGTTAAGGTACTGAAATATTCCCGATTGAAGGAACGACGTAACACTCGAAAATGTCTATTTTCTGGGATGTTACGCCGTGTAGTCCGGTAGTAGATGTGCTTTCTGCCTTTACACGTCCGTCAGATTCTTTCACACTACACAACACAACATCCCAGAGGACAGTTATCTTCATATTCGCTGCCGTGAAAACCTGAAATCTCACTACTTAGTAACTGTCGAACTCTCTCCTTCGCTAAGAGACATGGACAACAGACTTTTTTTTAAAATACTTAAAAAACATAACTACAGAAACATCGCTGATTTCTCCTTCACTGAAACAAGTGAAGAACAGATAGCTGGCTTTACCTTCCTGCGTGCCTACCATACGGACTGTCAAAAACCTTTGTTTGCTCCAGTCGCCTGGAGGAGTAGCTTAGACATCCCGCTCAGCACGCTATGCGTTCCTCCCCTCCACACTTTTCTCCCAGCTTTTCAAGTGCTCCAGCTCAGAGGTGATGGAGTAAGTTCGTCGTTTGCCTCATAGATGGCATTAGCTGGAGCAAAAGATATCTCAGAAAAGAAAAATTCCATTGAATTTAAAAGATAGTTGCTTTCAGAATTTTTATATTTGGTTTCTTCGTGTGTTTAATGACGTTTTGTTAACGGAACAGGTCAACGACAGGATACCTATGAATGAGGACGAGAAAAGAAAATACAAACCAACAGTCATTATGCATTTTAATGTACTATTCTGGTAAATTTGGGAACAGCAACAAATTATTGAAAATTGATCTCTGTGACAAGATTCGAGCCCTGAACCTCTCGAATACGAAGTCAGGAACGTAACCGTCACGCTGCAACTTTCGGTTTAAAGTTAATTCAGAAATAAATTTAAAAGTTCTGCAACTGTTGGTGATAGCTTAAGACAATATGAATTAATAGAAAAACCATATATGTCATACGTGATTTCAGTTAGATTCTCGGCAAGCACCTTATAATTGCCCTATATAACCGGCACACCTAGAAATTCAATTTTTTAAATTAATTTTGTTACACTATTGGTACAGACTATTTAACGTAATAGGCTATTTTACAGCGTGAATCGCATAGAAAAGCTATTCAGCAGGCAAGCGACGCTCAAAAGGAAACTTAAAACTCCAGATAAAATTTACAGGTCGGTGTACAGCGACTTTATGACGTCATCGCCTCAACTGCTGAAGACAAAATAGTAAGGACATCCTATGTCAGGATAATTGATAATTCGGACAGGATGTGAGTCAGGAACCTCTCGAAATACCGACACTTACGGAATCCTAAAGTTGGAAGTTTTATAAACGGGGGAAAAATTAAGTACAAAAAGTGGAAGACAAACGCGTAAGAACGCACAAAATACTGTGCCCTAAGCGGGACTGGGCTTAACGTTTAACGACCGCGTTAAAGTGTCTCGTATTGATTATGATGGAGATTGTGCATGATTCAGAGTTCTTTGCAGTAAGCAGTCTACGACAATTCTTTCTCACTCTTCTGCCAATTGCCATGAGCTGCAACGGACGTCTGTGTTTGATATTCCACATTTCTTTGTCCTCACACTGACCAGGGGTCGTGAAGACGCCGAGTTAGCATTGGA